TGAACCCATCCAGTTTTTATATAAAGGGGAAATCATTGAGTTAACTCCACAGTTACTCCTTGATTATGGTTTTCTCTATCAATTAATCTTTACAAAAATGGCGGATACTGATCTTGTTGGAAGAAGATTTGCCATTGCTGTCTTAGAAAGCATGCCTCCCAACTACATTGAGGCATTGATTCAGAGCAAGGCCCCTGGATGGAAGGGTAGACATTTGCTCCCGGCACAGCACAAAATTATTTTAAGAAGAAGGAGCAGTTTACCGCCTCTCTACAGAGACGTTCAAGCCTGGCCATCCACTACTCAGTCCCTCACAAAACAACTCAGACACTGGAGAGCTAGAACAATGGCCCACATGCAGGTCATGGGAGATGATTTTTCAGCTAGATACACCCTCTTTACTGAGGACAGTATTCAGAAAATTTATCTTGATCCTGATGTGTTTATTCATAGTCAGAGTCAAAGAGAGATTTCCTTCTCACCTCAAACAAGTTACACTCAGCTACTCGATATTTACTCTGAGGAATATAAAAATGGTGAAGATCAATACGAATATCGCGACGCTGATTTGGGTGACGACCTTCCCAATGATTACCCAGATGATCCAGAGGATATAGCCTTTTATGATGATCTTGACTCAGTTGGGTGGGAAAATCTCGAAAATCAAATGGAGGGATAATAAGTCAGACAAAGGAACAGGCATGCCTCACTCCAAAGTGATTGTCATGAGACATGTTCCGCAAAAGCCGGTTACTTTTTATCTTTCCCAAAAGATAAAGATGACCGACTTCAGTTACCTCTGTAAATAACCTTAGGGTTAGTTAACCATAGTTAGTTTTATGTAACTAGAGTTACTTTTACTGCAGTTACTTTGTAACCCAGGTTAGTTTTTCTTTCTTTAATATGCCTTCTTAGAAGTAGAAGTCATGGTTGGAAAGAAAGGTAGAAAGATTAGGAAGTAGGAAGTAGAGAGAGTCTGCTCAAAGGGCGTACTCAGCTACTCAAATCCTTTGTAATCTGCACTCTTTCAAGTATGTATAAAATATATTTCCAGTTAATTTCTTTAATGAGTTATTTAGCTTAAACACAAATCTTTGGCAAAGAGAATAGTTTGTAACTTTTGTTTGTCTCGTTATTCTATATTCATATACTTATTTATAGATGAAGGATTCCTGTTTCAGGCTGTTTTCGACTTCTTTCACAAAGATCTTTAAAAATGGAAAGATAATTGTTTTTCATGACCTACACCACTGTAGAGAGTAAGAAAGTTAAACCTGAATAGCCTGGTAGAGAAGAAATTCTTTACTACCTAGCCCTACTGGAGAGTATCCGGTTGAAGCCGAGAATGGCGTTTTAGGAGAAATCACCAGGGATTTGGAAATCAAGTTTCTTGATTGGGTTGGTCACTAGCCTTCTTGGGAAAGAGGGGGGTCACTGGGTTTTGAAAAACTTGGAAAGATAATGAATTAATGGGTAGATATATATACAGACTCTGGGTTGATTTTGAAGTTACTTTTCAGAAAAAGAAAAAATAAAAACGAAATATGTTTTAAGAGGACTGCTACGTGCAGTCGAAAAAGGCGACTGCATTTAGCAGTCCTCATGTTCTAATTCTAACGGCGGTTGTCTTACCTCCTTATATGAAAAATGAAAAAGAAATATTCGATTTAATTTTCAATGGTGTTTACCAAAAAATTCTCTTTCATTTCTTTTTTTTTTTCCCTTAGTTAAGTAACGAGTTATTCTTAAGGCAAAAGAAAAAAAAAATGAAAGAAAGTAATGAGTTATACTCTTAAAATTAATATCATATTCCTTTGTTTAATAATATTAGTTTTAATTTGATATTAATTTTAATTTAATTTTTTAACTTTTAAAATAATACATTTAGATGAAAATATAACAGAATAAATGAATGTCAACTAAAAATTTTATTTTTGCCGCATTGAGTTCTTGTTTAGTAGTTTAATAAAAAATTTATGAGTAAGAATTTATTTATATATAAATTTTATATATTATATTTATATAAAATCTTAATTATTA